GGGCCGGAAAACTTTGGGGGGGGGGGGGGGGGGGGGGGCGGTACATTTTTCCCCCCCTCGAAATTTCTCCCTCGTTAACGATACGAAAACAGTTGAAGCCGATGCGCGATATTCAATTTTCTAGGCGATAGCGAAAAATCCTGACGATCGACGACTGTCGCGCGTTTCAATTGTCACGAATGAAATAAAGGTCATTTTCGAGATTCAATGTAACATAAATGAGTACGAGTTATTTATTTCCGCCGTTGAAAAGCGACGAATGCATTCTCGAGATTAGATCAATAACGCCCACGACTTACGTAAAGAGTAGCGCTACGATATCTCGCGCGAATCGAGACTGTCGGATTTACTCGTGATTCTCTGGGTACTTTCGGCTGTATTATTTCTTGAAATCTTTCTTGCTCGCGCACAGAAAAGTTAAATGATTGATTTTACAATGGCCGCGTAAGTGCTTTGGAAAGTTCGATCTGTAACGTGTCCTCGTATTTTATCTGGCACGAATCGTTTCGATGTAAGTCGCAATAATATATACATCTAATTGCAACAAACGCAATTTCTCGTATACGTAATACATAATCCTGGGGGCTCATACTCATTGTGATATTTATCTAACTTTAACTGCGTGTCAATTTATAATTTTACCATTGTGCAGAATAATTGCAACGCAGTTTTTGAGATTTTTTTTTTATAAGAGGGTATTTAATGTACTGTCAAAACCGAGTAGAGAGAGGAGGAGAGAGAGAGAGAGAGAGAGAGAGAGAGAGAGAGAGAGAGAGAGAGAGTTATTTTTCGGTTTTTTTGACACTTCTTCTTTTTTCCCTTTACTCAGGTACTGATGACCTTATGTGTTATCGTATGATTCCTATTTTCGAATGTTATTTCGCATTTTAAAAAGATTTTTGAAATATTTGATGAGAAAGAGAGATGGATGATACTGTAATTGATATACAGCAAATATTATTATTATTATTATCGATACGCGTGTGCAGTTAATTTCGTGGTTTGACGCAAAAACATATTTGGAAGCATCCGTGATGGAATATGCGTTATTGATAGGTCGTTATAGATATGTGTGGTTTGATATATTCGATTGCGATCTCTCTCTCTCTTTAATTTATAAAAATATTATTTTAATCCTAGCATTTAAATTTCGTGCAAGTATAACTTTTTGCGAAATTATATTAATTATGGTAAATTTTTTAAGTTACAATGAAAAATATATACTACATATTCAATATTTTGTAAAGATATCGAATATACACGTAAACAGGAAGATCATTCTCACAACTTGGCCAATCGTTGGATTACTTACAATATAAGAGCAAAAAATCATCAAAGAGAGAATTTTTTTTTTTTTAATTCGCGGAATATTTAGTAAAATTCTATGAGAATTTTTTATTATAATTTTTATATAATTTTTCCATGTACAAAAAAAATCCCTGAGTATTCCAGGTTTTCTAGAAAATAGACACCCTTAATTATAATAGTACATAATAACTAATAGTACATAAAAAATATAATAATAAATACAAAAATTATTCGTACATATAGTTGCGATTAAACTTTTATCGCGAATAGAGTCGCGATGATGTCACATGCGCGAACGAGCGACATTATTATCCAGGCACGCATATCGCGGTTTCCATTTCGTGAATTCCAATATATTCGCCAGGTGGACGTTGGTCGAACACGCGGGGATTGATTTTGCGCAAATGCACAAGACGCTTTGTGTGTATTGACATTTGACGCGCGCGCTGTCATTGTCACGATGCACGCATATCATTTCGCGATAAACACAGGATCGAAACGCTCGTACGTATGTACGTTATTGCAGTGTCGTTGAAATCACGGGGATGGCATATAAATATTTTATTACTACTTAAATTACAAAAGACACGTGTGCACGTCATATATGGTGGGAAACCTCCAATGTTAATAACTCATATTTTAAAAAAATATGAGGAGAAAGTGAAAACGTTGGAGAATTTTTCTCGAAAAAATAGAAAATTTTATTATATTTCAAAGTCACATTTCTTCTCGATATTGATAGTGAAAATAATATATGTAGATATGTATGTACATATTGAAAAACACGATTAGCGTAAAAGATTAAAATAGAGATGTTTAAATAATAAAAAAGCATATGTTTGCGTGTCTTGTTTCTATAAAAAAAATGCCAACAAATAAAAAAATAAGGATTTCTTGTCAATCATAATACATTATACAAAAATTAATGTAATTTTGTTAAAAGTTATACCTGCAGGGAATTTGAATGCTGTGTGTGAGTAAAATAATTTTATAAGGTAAATGTTTATTAACTTACACCTCATGAATGACTTTCTTTTTGACATATATTTTAGAGAGGATATATTCCTAAGTAATATAGGCTTTGAATTTTGTGGCCCTCTCTTTTGGTTCCTGAGATATGCGATTTTGAAATATTGTAAAAATAACATTTTTAAAAAAGCAGATTTAGTCTCAATGATCTTAATCTTGACATACGTTTTTAAGATTATGATCGTTAATAATTTTCAAAAAATTTTTATCATTACACATTCGAAGCGATATATTTGTGCGAATTCATTTAGGGAACGCTAAAAATATTGTAAATAAAAGGAATTAATTAATATATATGCTCAAAAAATATGTAATTATTCAACATTAATTATTGCAGTATTAGAAATTTTATTTGGATTTTATCATATAATTTTATAAATGTGTACCTCGATAGTATAATCGCGGTACTATTACTATTATATTAAATTATTAATTAATAATTTTGATTTTTCGAAACTTCGAAGATTGAAGTATCGAAGTTTCGAAGGTTCGAATGCCGAAGCCTTCGAAGCAAATCATCAGCCCTAATTTAAATATGCAAGTATATCGAATCCATTTATTTCAAACTTTCTTTTGTGCGGAAAGTTCCAAACCATGTATTTTATAGCTTTACTCTATTATAAAGCAAAGGAGTAAGCGAGGAAGAGGCGGAGCCCCTCCCCGAAATGAACTAACCTAACCCAAACCTCCCAATACTTCTGATTTTAAATTGAAATTAGGTTTAGGTTAGTGAAATTAGATTTAGGGTTAGGTTAGTGCCCCGGAGCTTTTCCTCGCCCACGTTTTTATTTAAATTTTCATTTTTTATTTTTAATAATAATTTAATACGATACTGTAAGCGGCATAAAATTCAAAGCGTGTATTACTTAGGAATATACCCTCTACAATATATGTTAAAAGGAAAGTGATCCGTGAAGTGTAAGTTAATGTAAACATTTACCGAAAATGTTATGCAAGTGAAAAATGTCTATCTTACGAAAGCTATATAGTTTTTTTCACTATATGTACAAACTTAAGAGACTCTGTGTTTTTTCTTTGTATGAATGAAAAACATTAGAAAACGCGTACAATAAAAAAAAGCTTATTTTAGAAAGTTATACCAAAAGATCTTTAAAATATTTTTTTACTTGGAATTTTGAAATAACTGGAAGATTAGGAAATTTTTTTTACAAGATTTGAGTAGAATTGAGAACACCCTGTTTATATAATTTCTTAAAAAACGTTTGTGTCTATAGAATTGTGTATATTATCATTAATTATTATAAAATTATTATTATAAAAATATATTTAT